CTTACACTGACCACTATCTCCCTTCACCCACATTTCTGTTGTTCATCCCCCCTGGGGGGCGGGATTATACATCAATTATTGTGATCGGTTCCCCCTTTCTCCTCCTTCTCCCCCCACCTTCTCCTTACCCTCGTGGGAGCACTACTATTTCTGTTCTTGAGGGGTTTATCTGACCTGGATTCTGTGTGTCGTGAGCTCTTCTCTGTACCAGTGCCCAGGCTCCGGTCTAGCCAGAACTGAAAGGCAGGACTGGAATATTGTGTTTCATCAGTACTATACTGCGCTCTAGTTGACTCATCCCTTCCTTGTGGCCCTTATGTAAGGGGATGTCCTGTTATTTACAGATGGATTTGGGGTCTCTGCTCCAATCCCCCTTGTTCTCAACAATGTTTTTTTGTGGTTTTTGTTTTTGGTCTTCTGGTGCCTGTTACCTGATTCTGTCAGTACCTAAGGATCACACAAGCTGATGTGCTTCTTCCATGTGGGCTTGTTGCTTCTCTGCTAGAGGACTGATTGTTTAACGTCAAACTTTTAAGACCCCAGACACTATATCTTTTGATAGCTGGCCACCATCAGCTTTCTTCACCACATTTGCTTATGCACCCGCTTTGTCTTCAGCGGTTGTGCCAGGAGGGTGAGCATCACAGAATGCCAGGTTGTTAGAACAAAGTGTTCTTGAGTTGAGGGAGGGCTTGAACAGAGGCCCAAAGTCCATCCACTTCCTCAATGTATTGCCGTATAAATATATGTACATAGTCCAATACCTCTATTTTCATGAATTGATATATTTATATAAATGTACATTTATGTTATACCTCTATGCATAGCTTTGCTTCCTAGATCTTTCCTCTGTTTCCTTTTACATTCCTCCTGCCCCAACATCAAGCTCTCCTCTCTCTTTTGCCTCTTAGTAATTCCTCTCGGCTAGATTGCGTTTGTTCCAACACCACCGGGATCTCTACGTCCTCCTTGTCCTCCTCGTTGTTGCTTTTAATGCCCTAGTTGTTCCCCTGTCTACGGCGTTGTTTGCTCACCGCTCCTTTCCCCTGCCTCCTCCTCCTCCCAGGTCCCCCCGGAACCCTCGTCCTCTTGCTTTCTCCTGCCTCTCTTCTATATGTAGGTAAAACAACAGAGAAAGAACAAAAAGAAAAGACATGATTGAATAAAAGGAGAAAAACAAACAAAAATAAACCTAGTAAAAACAAAAATGAAAAAGCACAGATAATTCCAGGTCTGTCCACTGACCTTTCTGAGCATCGCCCCACCGGTCCTGGGGAGTTCCAGAAACTGCCCCTCCTAGCCTGAAGTCTGTTTTGGGGGCTCCTTTAAAATCACATATTCTGAGTGGGAATGTGGGCTCCCTTGCTCTGCATATGAATATAAAGAGCACAGCTCCCACCGAATCCTGATGGGGAGCCAGGTTCTTTTCATTCCTGCACAAAGGGCAGTCTCCCGACTGGAATCAGAAAAACAAAAACCCCACCTTCAAACGTACTGCCACAGAACCGATGCCGACCTGTAGCGGCCCTGTACACCGGGCAGAACTGCCCCAGGTTCCCGAGCCCCCAACTGTTTCAAGGGGTAGAAAGACCCCACTTTCTGCGGAGGAGCGGCTGGTGGTTTCAAATGGCTGACCATGAGGATAGCAGCTCCTGCTCTGACACTTCACTTCCAAAAGAGTTACACTTAGGGGCGAAGGGTCATGACGCCCAGAGTGTATTCTTAAATAGTTTCAACTGCAACAACAAAAATAATAAAAAATACTTCTATGGACAGAGAGCTCACACATGAATGAGGAAATACTAACAATGTTGGTCACAGGTGGGGAGCTATGGGTGCTTCCTATTCTATTCTTTCAGCTGTTTCTGCAAGTGCACCGCAGCACCGGCAGCAAGTTGGCAGTCAGAGGGAGGATGCGGTTTCACTTGGCTTCTGCCCCACTCTGTGTCAACAGAGAGGACTTCCTGCAGGCTGCTGGCTGCTCTTGGCTGACTGTGCGAGGCCCACTGGCCTTGTGTGTACTGTCCTCAGCCTGTTGACTTTAAAACCTTTCTGACCTGCCTCTCCACCCTGCAGTGCCTCTGGTCTTTACCTGGGAAAGTGAAAGAAATACAGGCACACCTTGGGGATGTTTGGGGTTTGAGCTCATAAAGCAAGCCTCACAATATTTTCGGTGGCTTATTTCCCAGTGTGTATAAAAGCCACGCTTTAGTGAATGGTGGTGCAATCACTTTATGAGAAGGTTTGGATTGTGGTGAGAAATAGCAGCTGAAACAGACGAGGAGCGAGCACAAGATCTAAGGAAAACGCTTCTGGTAGATTAGCTCGAGGCCGGGAGTTGTCATCGACTCAATGGCAGTGAGTTTGGTTGGGGTTTGGGATTCTCAGTCTGGTCCCACATAGATAGTTCTTAAAAGAGTATGATTCTCCAGACCATGGCAGTGGGGGGCAGGGTGGGGGAGGCTTCAGGAACTAGAGGAATGATGTGTGTTTTGTCCCTGCTGTACTGTACCCCGGTTGAATCATCCTTTCCTTGTAACCCTTCTGTGGGGGGATGTCAATTGTCTACAGATGGGCTTTGGGTCTCCACTCCAACCCACCTCTTTCACATCCCTATAATTTTTTGTTTTGGATCTTTTGATATCTGATACCTGATCCCGTTGACATTGCATGATCACACAGACTGCTGTGATTCTTCCATGTGGGTTTATTTGCTTCCCTTCAAGATGGATGCTTGTTTAACCTCAAGCCTTTAAGACCCCAGATGCTATATCTTTTGATAGCTGGGCACCATCCGCTCTCTTCACCACATTTGCTTACGCACCTACTTTGTCTTTGCCGACGAAACACACATAATTTCTCTAGTCCAGTGGTTCTCAATCTTCCTCATGCTGTGACCCTTTAATACAGTTCCTCATGTTGTGGTGACCCCCCAACCATAAAGTTATTTTCATTGCTACTTCATAACTGTCATTTTGCTACTGTTATGAATTGGGTGACCCCTGTGAAGGGTCGTTCAATCCCCAAAGGGGTTGCGACCCACAGATTGAGAACTGCTGCTCTAGTTCCTGAATGCTTGCTTTCCCCCCTTTCCTACTACTACCATGATCTAGTTCTACTTTACAAATCTGGCTAGACCAGAGAACACACATTGATACAGATAAGAGTTATCACACATGGAATTCAGGACAGATTAAACCCCTCAGGAGCAGTAGTGGGAGCAGTGATATCATGCTGGTAGGGGATGGTGGGGACAGGTTGGGGGAAGGCGGAGAAAGGGGGAACTCATCACAAGGTTGGGTACATAGCCCACCCCCCAGGGGGGCGAATAACAGAAAGATGGGTGAAGGGAAACAACAGACAGTGTAGGACACGAAATAACAACAATAATATATCATTGATCAAGGATTCGTGAGGATGGGAGGGGGAGGGAGGGAGGGAGGGAGGGGGAGAGGAGGAGCTGATACGATCCTCAAGGAAGACATATTTTACTAGTTTGCCTAAATGATTTAAGGTGCTCTGGCGTGGTGTTTGAAGCACTCTGCTGCTAACCATAGGTCAGCTGTTCCAGCCCAGCAGCTGCCCTGGGGGAGGAAGATGTTGCAGTCCCATTCCATAAAGATGTGCAGGCTCGGCAACCCTCCGAGGCAGTCCGTCTCGGTCCTATAGGGTCGTTGGGAGTACTGTTTGGTTTTAAAAAGACTTCAGGGGAGATTTGGGGTTAAAGGTTTACAGATTATATCTGAATAATACTTTTAGGAGTTCACCCAACCTTCATGACCCCGGGAAGTCTGACATTCGTGACCATTTAAAAATTCTGTTCTATATTGTCCTTGTGTTTGATCAGGATTCTTCTCAAATGTATTGCCAATGGGTCGATTCTGACTCATGGTGACCAGGGCTGTAGATTTTCATGGGAGCAGGAAGCCTCAGCTTTCTCCCTCGAATCACCTGGTGGTTTTGAACGGCTGATCTTGGCAGTTAGCAGCTCAACAAACAATCCATTAGGCCACCAAGGCTCCTGGGATTCTTCTAAGAATCTTAGCTCAAATGGATCAGTAATGGTAGCCCAAGTGCCATCCAGTACCTCCTTTCCCCCTCCCTCCCTCACCAACTGCCATGGCAAAAGAGGCAGTTGTTTATGGAGACAATTAGCCACGCATGCACTCAAGGTCATTTTAATGACTGCAGAGTAGCTCCTCTGAGAGGGGGCGGGAGGAAGACTTTGCCCTTCCATCACTGTCTACCCATTTGCAACGAAGGCTTCTCAGACTTTAAACCACACATTTGACAGCCGGGGCCTAAACGGCGTCTTCTGTATATCTGTCCTCATGTGGGCAGGGAAGACACACGTAGGCCCAATGACCTTTCCCTGTATGATTTCCTTGTTGTCCTTCAGATTGTATCATAGGCACAACCGCTGGCAAAGTCCAGGACCCATCGTTTGGTGCCAGGCTAATGAACTTCCTGAACACAAGTTCTGAGCAGGAAATGGATTAAAGCTTTGTAGGAGATATTTCTTGGACGACAGCCTTGCTTTTTTTTTTCTTTTTTTCAATAGCTCTACATGGGAAGTCAATGGATAATAAGTCAAAGCTTAAATAGAATCTATATTTAAGGTTAGATTTGATTTAAATATAGATTATATGTACAAAATATAATCTAAAGACATTTGATGGCGACCGAGGTACACACTCTGAACATATAGATAGTATTCAAATGCTCATGTTAGCACGCGTGACCCACCAGCCTCACAGTCGGCAGAGGACCGAGTCGCCACAGTACCAGCAGAGAGCCTTTACTTGCCGATGGCTGCCCATCATTTCAAATTAAAATTGTAGGTGTGAGTTTTGTGCGACTCTGTCTTCTCTTTGCACTTCATTTGCAGTTTCTCGGTTTCAGAGGGTTTTGTGTGAGCTACTGAACCATCACAGCAATGCTGGCCTGATTTGTTAAGCGCCTTCCTTGGGGCTCCTTTAGCTCCGTTGCTTAGAAGGCGGCGGGGAAGGCCTTCAATGCCATCCAGTGCTCAACGTTTCCCGATTTTCTGATCTTCTCCTTCACTCAAAGTTCTGCAGGTTCCTAGTGTACTTTGATTTTGCTTCCAGACTTATGGAATTTTATTAAGTATGGCTATGCTATCAAATTCTCATTTTATTGAAGTGTAGAAAATACGACCTAGATATTGCTTTTAAAAAACGTTTTAAATAAAGTTTAAAAACTAGCTTCCAAAGCCATCTATTACCATTTTTAGAGACAAGATAGAAATACCGAAAGGCCCAGAGTGGCCACTGAAACCTCTTCGTGAAAAGGCAGCATCTCTAGCCACCTCACCCCCAACCAAACTCACTGCCATCGAATCTGTTCCGACTCAGAGCCACCCTATCAGCACAGGGTAGATCTGCCCGCCCCCGTGGGTTTCTGAGACAGTGTCTCTACAGGAGTGGAAAGCCTGGTCTTTCTACCTCAGAGTGGCTGGTGGTTTTGAACTGCTGAACTTTTGGTTAGCATAGTATACTAGTACACTATAGTCTATAGTGTAGTATACCAGTATAGTATCGTATCATACTGCACAGTATTATAACTAGTATAGTATCTCCAATGACCCCAAAGGCTAAAGTCTTAGGTAGCTGGATTTTCACTGGTCTTGCGCACTGATAAACAAAGGAAGTTTTCCTGGCAAGCACTCCCCATCGCTGGTCTAGAGGCAGTTTCCCTCTACTCATCCACGGCCGTGGGGTCAATGCCACCTGACGATGAGCCTGTGGAGGAACGGAGCCCCGGGGGCAGAGCGCTTACACACTGGGCGATCCACAATGCCGGCTGTTCGAAATCACCAGCTGCCCTGTGGGAGGAAGACGGGCGCTACGCCCTTAAAAGGATTCCAGCCCTGAAAACCCACAATGAGAGCTCTCCCTTGTCCTGTGGAGTCACTATGGGCTGGAACGGACTCGAAGGCAGCGAGTTGATAGGGAGGAGCGGAATTGCCCCCTAGGGTTTCTGAAGCCATAGATCTTTACAAAGGCCTCACCTTTCTCCCTTGGAGCAACTAGTAGGTTTGAACTGCTGACCTTGAGGTTAGCAGCCCAACGTATGCCATCAGGGCTCCTTCTTGTTCAATCATAAGTGATATTTTGTGTATGTCTAGAACCCTGTAATTGTCAAATACAAAAAAACAACTCTCACGTGCACTTCTCAAACGCAAACAAACACTGCCATCACATCCACGCAGCCTCACAGGGACCCCATAGGAGGACAAGGGACAACTGCCCCCGTGGCTTCTGAGACTGCAGCTGCTTAGGAAGCAGAAAGCCCTGTCTTCTCCTGCGTGCAACTCTCAGATGACCTTTAAGAACCCTGAAAGGAGGGCGGTGAGTGTTCTGCTATCCCCAGTTGACACCTGCAGAAAGGGACGCTCACCATGGGTGGCAGGGTTGGTTCTCGGGGCCCAAGTCTTTCTGCTCCTAGTCTTTGTCCAAAGACTTTCTGCTTTCTGGGATCCTCGGAGCAGAAGCTACAACCTGTTCTTCGGCGAGATCCTACTTCCTGTGCCTAACCCCCTCTCTTTCCTGCATGCGCTCCTGCTCTCCCTCTTTTCGAATCCAGTCGGCTGCGTGGGTGCAGACACCGAGCCGAGTCAAGTCTCTCACCTTCGCGCGCAGCTGGCGCTCCTTCCGCTCCTGCACGGTGGTCAGGTAGTTGACGGCCGCGTACTCCAGCACCGAGAGGAACACGAACACGAAGCTGACCCACAGGTAGATGTCCACCGCCTTGATGTAGGAGACGCGGGGCATGGAGGCGTTCACACCCGTGATGATGGTGGACATGGTCAGCACCGTGGTGATGCCTGCAACGTGGTGATGCCAATCTTAGGTCAGTCACAGAGCGCTGCACAGAGCTACCATGACTTGCATTCTCCCTCTCTCCAGTCTAAAGAGAAATGTCCCTCTCGGAGAGGAACAAGAATCTGCTTCGTAACCAGGCCATTCTCTGTCACAAAGACAGGCCTATTTTTCACCTGGACAGCGTGCTCCTCGTCTCCTTTCATTTGAAGCCTCTCAAGATACTGGATTCCTGTGATGAGGTGGTCACAAAATTCTTTGGACAAAAACCAGCTCCGATGTTGGTTCATGGACCCACTCAGCTGGGCTATGCTTCTCAGTGGTTGGCAGACATTAGACGGGCCGCCATTCCAAGGGTAATATAAGGGAAACATCTTCCAGGAGGTGACCTCCAGGATCAGACCAATCGGGAGAACAGGGAGTGTCCTTGGGAGGGTGGTCTGCCTCCAGAACATAGCCAGGTGTCGGGCAGTGCTCCCTCCCGCTCGACCCTGCACTCCTCTCTCTTCTGGTAGCCTGGCCTGTCCACGGGGGGATGCCAGCCTACAGAAGTCTCTCCTCTGAGCATTATGATAAACCCATTCAATGGGTGAAGAAAATAGAATGACTTACTGGGGAGCCATTAAGTATAAACCTTAGTGTGGAAAAAGGAGAACAGAATCTATGGTTCTCCATTGCTAAGCAAGAAGATCTCTTCTGCATATTAAAGAGAACAAGCCCCAAAGTATTTCTACTGGGGGTTGAGTTCGTTAAAAAAAAAAAGATGTTTCCCATTTGCTACATGACTGATATTTTGGAATTTTTTGCCAACAAACCTATGGATTTGGGATACGCCAACCAGATATATATATATGATTTTTCTCCTCTAGAAAACATAAACTAAGGCAGATGTAGAATTAAAGGTAGTGACTACAGGATACTTCTAAAGGAGTTTCCATAGCCTCTCTAATGGACACTTTACTTTTTCTTTACATAGAGGCCAACTGAAAGGGGAACCATCTTCATCCACTTTATCAAACACTTTTACCCAGTGAGACTCTGGCAGGCACAGCTCTGCGGTCGATCCAGAAGGACACCCAGGACAGCATGACCATCAGGGTGGCGGGGAAGTAGGTCTGGAGCAGGAAGAAGAAGATGTGGCGCCGCAGCGTGAAGTTAATGTACAGACGGTTGTACCAGCCTAG